ATTATTGTTTCTCATCATTATCATTCCCAGAGTGAAGCGTGTGTTATTTTGTCAATCAATAATGTATGCAGACAAAATTAGATGACGACATTTTCTGTCCTTGCTTGTTCTTAGTTTGTAAGGCTATAACAATAATAATAATAAGTCATCAAATGATGCAGTATTGCTTCTCTATAGTATTGGGTTGTTGCAAATGAAATTTCCATTTTTAAAATTTAAACTTTCCAGCCTTATAGTTCAACTTTTTCCATGTGAACAGTACTATATGTTTGCAATTGGAAGAGCAAACATATAATATGTAAATTTAAAAATATAATTTCATTTATATTGTGAGTTCCACATGTTTAAGAGTATATTTTCTGATGGCATGGAAAAGAAGGAAATTGAATAATTTTCTTTTATGAGTATATACACTACTGGCCATTAAAATTGCTACACTAGGAAGGCAGCATACCATACACATGAAATTTGCATGACAGATAGAACATTCTGTGATATGCGAATGATTAGCTTTTCAACGCATTCATGCAAGGCAGGTAGTGGTAGTGACACCTACAATGTGTATAAAAGAAGAGATTTTACAACAGGTTTCTCATACAGAAATTGCATTTGAATGCTGTTTTCTGGTAAGAACATTGTTGTTATGCCTTGTGTAAGGAGGCATAATGCTTACCAACACATATCTGACTTTGATCGAGGTCAAATTGTAGCCTACCAGGATTGCAGTTTATTGTACCACAGTATTGCTGCTCGTGTTGGTCGCGATCCCATGACTGTCAGCAGAATATGGAATCAATGGGTTCAGGACAATCATACGGAACACCATACAGGATCTCAGAGGCCCCCCCCATCAGTAACAGTCGAGAAGACAAACATCTTATCCACATTGACTTAATGGATTGTACAGCCACATCACAACCCGTAGTCAAGAAATAGGGTCGTTTGCAAGACAACAAGAATCTGCATGAACAGTTCAACGACATTTGCAGCAGCATAGACTGTCGGCATGGCGACCATGGTTTTAGCTTCCTTTGACGCTGCATCATAGGCAGGAGCGCCTCCAATGGTGTGATCAATGATGAACCTGGACGCAGGAATGGCATCACGTCATTTTTCAGACAAATTCCAGTTCTGTTTAGAGCACCATGATGGTTGCATCTGTGTTTGACGGCATTGTGGAGAATGCACATTGCCAGCATGCATTTCACATCATCATACTGGCCCATCACCTGGAGTGATGGTTGGGGTGCCATTGTATGCATGTCTCGATCACCTCTTGTTTGCATTTCCAGCACTTTGAACAGCAGCTGTTACATTTCTGATGTGTTAAGGCCTATCTTCGAGGTCTCTGTAACAATATGTTTCAGCAGGACAATGCACGACCACATGTTTCTCATATTGTCCTGATCTTCCTTGATTCAGAAGATGTTCGATTGTTACCCTGGCCAGCATGTTCTCTTGATCTCTCATCAATTGAAAATGTCTGGTCAATGGTTGCCGAGCAACTGGCATGCCACCACTTGCCAGTCACTATGGTCGATGACCTGTGGCATAGTGTTGAAGCTGCATGGACTGCTGTACCATACATGCTATCCAATTTCTGTTTGACTCCATGTCATGGCGAATAAGTGTTGTTGTTGCTGCCAAAGGTGACTACTCTGGGTATTGATTTCTCAAGATCTAAATTTCCAAATTTCCTGAAAATTTAATTATTTGTTTTTCCCACTATAATGTATGTGTCTAATAAATATCATTCTGTTTTTTGCATTCCTTCCTGGTATAGCAATTTTAATGGTCAGTAGTGTACAAGCAGGAACACAATCAGCTGAAGCAACCTGAAATGCCAATAAAATTTTTGTGAAGGTTCTGTGAATGAGCAGGCCACCAGACATTGGTTTAAAAAATTTCATTTCAGGAATAGAAATCTCAGAAATCAGAATTGAAGAACATCATCAAATTAGAACATCACTTGATTGTTCAGGAAATTGCAGAAATGTTGAACGTACTGGACATTATTCAACCATTTTTCAACATCTAACCATGTTAGGAAAAGTCAAGAAGCTCAACAAATGAGTATCACACAAACTCAGTGAGAGAGATAAGGAGCATCATTTGGAGGTCTGCAGTGCTTTAATTATTCATCACAAAAATGAAAGTATTCAAATGAAATTATTCCCCATCCACCTTATTCTCCAAACTTTTTGTTGACAGACTATCACTTTTTTATACATTTGGACAGATTTTTGGCAAGGATAGTCTTCAAGGAAGAGAATGCAATAAAAAGTACCTTTAATGGCTTTTTTGGCTTCTCATTCTCATGATTCTATCAAATTGTCATGAATGCATTTCTGTTGCATTGGGAGTGTATTAATGTTGGTGGAAACAATTTTGATTGAATATGTAAGTTTTTAAATTAAATTAATAAACATTCAAAGTCAGAAGCAAAAATTGACCATTTAATTTGCAACAATAGGCCAGCATTCATTTCATCTTTCTTATCTGAATTCTGCTTTCCATGGCGTGTCTTCAATTATCAGAAGAAAGTTTTTCTAAAGCAATTGATATTTTATCATACTGAAATAGAATTTTTGATGCACAATGGAAAAGTCTGTAATATAATAATACTTCAATAAATATACAAAATAAACATCTGCAACATAAACTTGATATAAGAATTTTTCTGTATCATGTACAGTACCTGAGGATAATTACTAGAACCAAAAGGTATTATAAGAGATCTTCAAAAAAAATAACAGTTGTGCTGTAAATTTTTGAAATATTTGTAATAGTAGACTTGTCTAATTTCAAGCAATTTAATAAATAATACTATAGCAATGGATTGATAATAAAAATACACAAAAAAATAAAATGATGAACAAAATGTCTATATTCACAAAAATAAACCACAAATTATGTTGTTTACAATGAGAAGATTGAAATCTGTACACTGTCCACTTGTGACCTTTCTCAGTACTACAAACAGTGGTGATATTCAGCGGTTCGCACAGGTTCGTCCGAACCCGTTGTTAACATTTTCAAAGTTTTCCGAACCCGTTGTTAAACACACGTAACATTTCTCAGCGGTTTTGTTTCTTTTAAAAAATATATTAAAATATACGTATTATACTCTGTAACACTACTAAACTAGAGCCTTATACCCCGTTCGCTATGTTCCCCTTGTACGCCGTTCGCATATAACCTCCATCGACCGTTTCAATCTCGACTGAAACGAGATTTAGGCTGCGTACACACTAGGCGTTTTTAAACGCGCGTTTTAAAGAACCAAGAGTTCTACTAAAGCGCCCGAAAAACGCGCGTTTTAAGAAAAATCTATAAACGCGCGCTTGGCCAAAAGCGCGCGTTTGAGTGTGTACGCCTATGTAGAACTCTTGGTTCTTTAAAACGCGCGTACGCGTTTAAAAACGCCTAGTGTGTACGCAGCCTTAATCGTGATCGACTCAAGAGAGTTCTTGAAACTAGGTCCAGTCATACGAGGGATCCCACAATCCCACACGCGCGAGAAAATACCAGATGGCTGCGGAACACGTGTCGGGCTATCTACAGCGAAATAAAAAAGATATTGTATTTCAAGAAACTATGACATCTGTCTATTATTATAATAATACCTAATGATAAAATAAATGATTTAGAAAAGTTTTTTCTTGAGAAAAAGTGATAGGTAAAGCAGTTAACTCCTAGGGACTCTAGCAATTGTTGATATTAATGTAATTAAGCATAAAAACTACTTAAAACTGAAAAAACGAAAGAAATGCGTTAATTCTGAAAAAAAGCTTCAGGTTTTATTTTCCTTTGTCTGGTCTTTCTGTGAAATCTGACGCTGATGAGTCATTGTTTAAACAGCTGGATGACCTTGAACACAGCTGGAGTTGGATTNATCTATAATTTTTCTTTCAATAATCAAAATTTGAAGTTTTTAGTGTAGATCTTCATAAAATATTTGTTAAATTTGCTATTAAGTTAATAATTAAATGTTAAGTAATTTGGCTTAGAGTTAGGTGTTAGGCTTTAAATTGAAATTTCATAAACTATATAAAGAGTAAATTTATCTATTATTTCTTTCAGTTAAAGTTTTGAATCTCATTACATCACAATTCTAACCATATTTTTCAAACAGGTGCTTTGTAGCATTTTAATATTAATCAATGATTCTAAATAAAATGAAACATTTTTGATTAGATTATTCACTGATATAAAAGGAAATAACATAAAATGAGAAAAATGAATATGATATAAGAGAAGCAAATATGTAAGTTACCCAACATTTTTTTATTTAACAGTCAGAAGACAAAGTTGGGCAAGACAATAAATACATAAGCAGAAAACAATTGAAATATTGTAAAACAAAATTATTTTTTAATTAATAAAATTGCAATCATTAATAGAAGGATCTATAATGTAGAATTAAGTTTACTAAATTGCACATTAGAATGAATGGTACTACTCCTAGCAAACAAATGCACAATATGAATGAACTAAAGAAAATGTTAACTGAAATCTATGAGTCATCTAATCAGAGTTTAGGAATGTCAATCTAGTTGCACTCATGATTGGAATGCTTGTTTTCATAAATATTGGTTAGCATTTGCTATATTGAATATTTTGTCTTGTAAATCAAAGATAAAAGAAAATAGCTTGCTGTATCAAATGCTTGAGGAGAGGGCGTCGAGTTGGCAGTTGGGAGAGTCGTGGTTAAAGTGAGCTCGTGCAAATCGTGCAGTATTTCTGAGGATTTTATCTCTAACCTGTGTTGTTATACATTTTTGGATTCGGCAAGACGTAAGGAATACAGTGGTGTTGGAATTTTGGAAGTGTGACCCTTTTTTCGGAGGTTATTGGAAGTTGAAAATTCAGGATAATTCGGATCGTTTTTCCGGACGACGGAAGTCGATCTTCCGGAAACGGCAACGGGGGACCATACCGTATGCATATGTGAGTACTGTATTAAAATTTGGAGGTCTAGGACCTATTATTTTAGAAGTTATTTAACTTTTCCGAGAGGATAGTATCGGGAATCGAAGGCCCGCATCGGGCTAGGGAATTATTAATCGACGAAAATTTCGACGGTTTTAGTGTGTCCTACGGTTCAGTAACTTTCGTTAAAAATTTGGTTTAAGAATCTTTTTAACTTGATAAGTTATGACAATTTATAAAATAAGAAAAAAATCAGCTTTTCCACCACTGTACTTTAAATAACGATTTTTATAACGGCCGTTACTATAGCAACGGTGATTGACCGGAACACCTGTTGCTATTTGCCAGACCATCTGGCGATATTAAAAGTAAACAGGAAGTGACTTGGATAAAATAAATTATCTCTTTATTTAATAAGATAAATTAAAATAAGTGTTTTAATTAAAATTATGGATGAAAAAAGGAAGGATTTGATAAAAGAATTTAACAAAGACACAAGTAATATTATAGAAGAATTACAAGATTACATCGAAGATAATAGAAATGGCAGGATGTCAACTCCTGATCATTATAATATAATAATGAATTCCATACAGAAAATAGTTAAATTAGCAGAGATAAAGATTATAGAGATAGGATCAACAACAAGGTTGGATAGAGATTCCCTAGGGAATCTAAAAGAGGAAATAAAAGAAATTGTACAGCAAAATAACGAAAAAACACTTCAGATGGTTGAACAATTAAGAGAGGAAATTAGAGAAATTAGAAAAATGAAAGAAACGGGGAAAAGTGAAGAGGAGGAGAGGTCTGATATAAAAAGAGAACTAGAACAGTTAATTACAGAGAATACAAAGAAAACTATAGATGCAATAACGACAGTGCAAGGGGATATAACAGAATTAAATAAGAGCTACTCTAAACCGATTAGTGCGCAAACACAAAATACAAGTTACAGCGAAATACTTAAATTGGGGAGAAAACAAACAGATATTGCTCTTCCTACGCCAACACCCCGTTACTCAATATTGGTTCATAGTAAAAATAAGAAGAAAACATCTGAAGAAATCAAAAAGATAATGGTTAAAAATGTCAACCCTACAGATATAAATATTGGTGTCAAACAGATGAGAATGATTAAAGATGGAGGGGTGGTAGTGGAATTAACAAGTTCAGAAGATATGACAACATTGAAAAAAGAATTAGATAAGATTAAAGAATTGGAAACGGTTGAGAGGAAGAAAAAACTGCCAACTATAAAAATAGTCTCCGTCCCAAAGGATATTGAAAAAGAGGAGCTCGTACATAAAATGTACGAACAAAACATGTGCTTATCAGAGAACTTATCTGAAACATTTGTAGAGAAGCAGATAAAAATAAAATACTCAATTCCTCAAAAAGACTCGACACTACAGACTTGGATAATGGAGGTTTCACCCATGATCAGAGAAATTTTAATAAACGAAGAAAAATTGTACATAGGATGGGTTAGGTGCACAGTTTACGACCACATAACAGTGATACGATGCTTTAAGTGTTTGAACTTCGGACATTTTGCGAAAGAATGCCAAGAAAAGGAACAGGTGTGTAGTCACTGTAACGGTGCTCACATCTATAAAGATTGCGTCAAAGAGGGGCCAGCAACATGCATAAATTGTGTAAGAAACAGTCTAACAGAGGTAAATCACAACTCAATGGATAAGCACTGCCCAAGCTACGTGAAACAACTCCGGAAACTTCTTGGAATACAACGACAATAGAAGATCATTGTAGAAGCCATCGAGTTGATGGACAGCAGTATGTCTTCGACCTACATGAATGGTGAATATGATTCAACAATTAGAACAATTGATTGGAACCATCAGACTTTTCATAGTGGCCGAATTGACCACTACACTGGACACATCCAATTATGTTAACCACAAGTTGTGGTTAAATTGTACATACTGTATATACTTTTTTGGTGTTCAATTTTCTTTGTTCTTCTGTTATTTTAAGTTTATATTGTCGGGACCAAAATTTTTTATGTAGCCACTGCCAGTTGCATCTGGCTTTTTGTTAAATCAATTTTAAGGATTCAATAAATGCCCGATGCGAGGCGCCTATGGGTCCCATGCCTTCTTTCACACTTTCCTATCTTCCTTTCTTTTCACACTTCAAACCTCATGCTTTCTCTTCTTTCCTACTTCCAAGGGCTAAGTCCGTCGCTTAAAAGACGGACAGCTCTCTAATTCTCTTTTTAAAGATGTATTAAAGATGTATCAAATGCTTGTATATTGAGTATTCATACACTGGATCACACTGTATATGATTTGATTGCAATTTTCAAATTGCAGACGTTTCAAATTCAAATTTTCAAATTTGATTCAATTTTCAAATTTCAAATACATTTCCAGTGTCATCTGTCTGTCCTTTGTTAATCTTGAAATCTTGAGAATGGAGTTAGCTAGATGAAAATTGAGTCTAGATATGGGAAACTTATGGACCATAAGCCCCAATTAGCTATATATGAACTTCTGGTCTGGACCAGAAATGACATGATTTCAATTCAAAATTTTCTCAAAAACAGTTAGGTAGATGACTGGCATGATTCAATTGTTATCAGGAGAAGTATGATGTACAGGGGCAAGATGCCACTTTAATCCAGACCAGATATGGAAAGCTTAGGTGCCAGGACCCCAATTAACTATATATGAACTTCTCATCTGGACCAGAAATCATGTATTTTATTTTTAATTAAAAGATGATTAAAAATTTTATTCCAGCATTGTGATAATGTCATAATAAATAATTGCTCATTTTGCAATAACTTCCAAGATTGAATCTAATACAGGCATTTGAAAGCATATTGGATCAAAATTTAACATATTCATGATACTGATTGTGAATAAATTATTAATTTATTCACAATCACATTCATATATGATTATTGTTCATGTGATTATTGTTATATTACTCAAATTTTTGTCATTAGCTGTCATGATGAAATGAAGAGCAAACATAAACTTTGTTACAAGTTAGGTAAAAGTATCAGTGAGAAACAACAGTAAAATGGTGTTAAAAGTTTGTGAATTTTAATGCTGTTTTATTATTGTTTCTCATCATTATCATTCCCAGAGTGAAGCGTGTGTTATTTTGTCAATCAATAATGTATGCAGACAAAATTAGATGACGACATTTTCTGTCCTTGCTTGTTCTTAGTTTGTAAGGCTATAACAATAATAATAATAAGTCATCAAATGATGCAGTATTGCTTCTCTATAGTATTGGGTTGTTGCAAATGAAATTTCCATTTTTAAAATTTAAACTTTCCAGCCTTATAGTTCAACTTTTTCCATGTGAACAGTACTATATGTTTGCAATTGGAAGAGCAAACATATAATATGTAAATTTAAAAATATAATTTCATTTATATTGTGAGTTCCACATGTTTAAGAGTATATTTTCTGATGGCATGGAAAAGAAGGAAATTGAATAATTTTCTTTTATGAGTATATACACTACTGGCCATTAAAATTGCTACACTAGGAAGGCAGCATACCATACACATGAAATTTGCATGACAGATAGAACATTCTGTGATATGCGAATGATTAGCTTTTCAACGCATTCATGCAAGGCAGGTAGTGGTAGTGACACCTACAATGTGTATAAAAGAAGAGATTTTACAACAGGTTTCTCATACAGAAATTGCATTTGAATGCTGTTTTCTGGTAAGAACATTGTTGTTATGCCTTGTGTAAGGAGGCATAATGCTTACCAACACATATCTGACTTTGATCGAGGTCAAATTGTAGCCTACCAGGATTGCAGTTTATTGTACCACAGTATTGCTGCTCGTGTTGGTCGCGATCCCATGACTGTCAGCAGAATATGGAATCAATGGGTTCAGGACAATCATACGGAACACCATACAGGATCTCAGAGGCCCCCCCCATCAGTAACAGTCGAGAAGACAAACATCTTATCCACATTGACTTAATGGATTGTACAGCCACATCACAACCCGTAGTCAAGAAATAGGGTCGTTTGCAAGACAACAAGAATCTGCATGAACAGTTCAACGACATTTGCAGCAGCATAGACTGTCAGCATGGCGACCATGGTTTTAGCTTCCTTTGACGCTGCATCATAGGCAGGAGCGCCTCCAATGGTGTGATCAATGATGAACCTGGACGCAGGAATGGCATCACGTCATTTTTCAGACAAATTCCAGTTCTGTTTAGAGCACCATGATGGTTGCATCTGTGTTTGACGGCATTGTGGAGAATGCACATTGCCAGCATGCATTTCACATCATCATACTGGCCCATCACCTGGAGTGATGGTTGGGGTGCCATTGTATGCATGTCTCGATCACCTCTTGTTTGCATTTCCAGCACTTTGAACAGCAGCTGTTACATTTCTGATGTGTTAAGGCCTATCTTCGAGGTCTCTGTAACAATATGTTTCAGCAGGACAATGCACGACCACATGTTTCTCATATTGTCCTGATCTTCCTTGATTCAGAAGATGTTCGATTGTTACCCTGGCCAGCATGTTCTCTTGATCTCTCATCAATTGAAAATGTCTGGTCAATGGTTGCCGAGCAACTGGCATGCCACCACTTGCCAGTCACTATGGTCGATGACCTGTGGCATAGTGTTGAAGCTGCATGGACTGCTGTACCATACATGCTATCCAATTTCTGTTTGACTCCATGTCATGGCGAATAAGTGTTGTTGTTGCTGCCAAAGGTGACTACTCTGGGTATTGATTTCTCAAGATCTAAATTTCCAAATTTCCTGAAAATTTAATTATTGTTTTTCCCACTATAATGTATGTGTCTAATAAATATCATTCTGTTTTTTGCATTCCTTCCTGGTATAGCAATTTTAATGGTCAGTAGTGTACAAGCAGGAACACAATCAGCTGAAGCAACCTGAAATGCCAATAAAATTTTTGTGAAGGTTCTGTGAATGAGCAGGCCACCAGACATTGGTTTAAAAAATTTCATTTCAGGAATAGAAATCTCAGAAATCAGAATTGAAGAACATCATCAAATTAGAACATCACTTGATTGTTCAGGAAATTGCAGAAATGTTGAACGTACTGGACATTATTCAACCATTTTTCAACATCTAACCATGTTAGGAAAAGTCAAGAAGCTCAACAAATGAGTATCACACAAACTCAGTGAGAGAGATAAGGAGCATCATTTGGAGGTCTGCAGTGCTTTAATTATTCATCACAAAAATGAAAGTATTCAAATGAAATTATTCCCCATCCACCTTATTCTCCAAACTTTTTGTTGACAGACTATCACTTTTTTATACATTTGGACAGATTTTTGGCAAGGATAGTCTTCAAGGAAGAGAATGCAATAAAAAGTACCTTTAATGGCTTTTTTGGCTTCTCATTCTCATGATTCTATCAAATTGTCATGAATGCATTTCTGTTGCATTGGGAGTGTATTAATGTTGGTGGAAACAATTTTGATTGAATATGTAAGTTTTTAAATTAAATTAATAAACATTCAAAGTCAGAAGCAAAAATTGACCATTTAATTTGCAACAATAGGCCAGCATTCATTTCATCTTTCTTATCTGAATTCTGCTTTCCATGGCGTGTCTTCAATTATCAGAAGAAAGTTTTTCTAAAGCAATTGATATTTTATCATACTGAAATAGAATTTTTGATGCACAATGGAAAAGTCTGTAATATAATAATACTTCAATAAATATACAAAATAAACATCTGCAACATAAACTTGATATAAGAATTTTTCTGTATCATGTACAGTACCTGAGGATAATTACTAGAACCAAAAGGTATTATAAGAGATCTTCAAAAAAAATAACAGTTGTGCTGTAAATTTTTGAAATATTTGTAATAGTAGACTTGTCTAATTTCAAGCAATTTAATAAATAATACTATAGCAATGGATTGATAATAAAAATACACAAAAAAATAAAATGATGAACAAAATGTCTATATTCACAAAAATAAACCACAAATTATGTTGTTTACAATGAGAAGATTGAAATCTGTACACTGTCCACTTGTGACCTTTCTCAGTACTACAAACAGTGGTGATATTCAGCGGTTCGCACAGGTTCGTCCGAACCCGTTGTTAACATTTTCAAAGTTTTCTGAACCCGTTGTTAAACACACGTAACATTTCTCAGCGGTTTTGTTTCTTTTAAAAAATATATTAAAATATACGTATTATACTCTTTAACACTACTAAACTATAGCCTTATACCCCGTTCGCTATGTTCCCCTTGTACGCCGTTCGCATATTACCTCCATCGACCGTTTCAATCTCGACTGAAACGAGATTTAGACTGTGTACACACTAGGCATTTTTTAAACGCGCGTTTTAAAGAACCAAGAGTTCTACTAAAGCGCCCGAAAAACGCACGTTTTAAGAAAAATCTATAAACGCGCGTTTAACGCGCGCTTGGCCAAAAGCGCAAGTTTGAGTGTGTACGCCTATGTAGAACTCTTGGTTCTTTAAAACGCGCGTACACACTAGGCGTTTAAAAATGCCTAGTGTGTATGCAGCCTTAATCGTGATCGACTCAAGAGAGTTCTTGAAACTAGGTCCAGTCATACGAGGGATCCCACAATCCCACACGCGCGAGAAAATACCAGATGGCTGCGGAACACGTGTCGGGCTATCTACAGCGAAATAAAAAAGATATTGTATTTCAAGAAACGATGACATCTGTCTATTATTATAATAATACCTAATGATAAAATAAATGATTTAGAAAAGTTTTTTCTTGAGAAAAAGTGATAGGTAAAGCAGTTAACTCCTAGGGACTCTAGCAATTGTTGATATTAATGTAATTAAGCATAAAAACTACTTAAAACTGAAAAAACGATAGAAATGCGTTAATTCTGAAAAAAAGCTTCAGGTTTTATTTTCCTTTGTCTGGTCTTTCTGTGAAATCTGACGCTGATGAGTCATTGTTTAAACAGCTGGATGACCTTGAACACAGCTGGAGTTGGATTTCCTGGGACATTCTCATAGAAATCTCGGGAGGCGATGGGTTTAAAGTAGGGTGAATACTAGCTGGCCGTATATTTTTAAAAAATTAAAATTTTTATTGCGATTTCCGACCCCCGACTTAATTAAACTTATATATAATAAAATCTATTAATTAAAAAAATTTAAAAACTATCGGGGGTCGTTTTTGACATCAGAAACTAGCTTTAAATAACTTTACCGAAGGAAAATTTGTGCACTACAACTTTAGAACGATGAATGAAATTTTATATCAAACTTCCATTAAAAAACAATTAAAAAGCAATTAAGCGTGAATCGTGTGTCATTAAAGGTAAATTAAAATCGCGATAAAATTTTTTCGCGCGGGAAAAAATGTTTGAAAAAATTTGGAGACTTAAAAAACATTCCAAAAATTCAAAAAAAACAAAAATTTTTAGGGAATCCAAATGCCCGATTTTTATGTAACGCTATGTAACTTGCCCGAGATATCTCGGGATTGGGGTTTAATTAAAAAGGAAAAATTTTCTGTTAGCGAACCCTTTGTTAAATATTTCGAATATCACCACTGACTACAAAGAGTGGATACTTTACAGTAACAACAGAAGCAGGTTGCTTGCAATATTAATACGAGAGCATAAAGAAATCAATGGCTGTTCCAAAGCCTTACAAATTATTTAACCCCATATATATCCTGATGATATTATGAAGTACCATCAGAATATATAAAGGGTTAAATAGTTTGTAAGCCTTTGAAACAGTCATGGGAATCTTCACTATGACCAAAATTCTAGAGATGTCTAAAAATAGATAACCAAATAAATTTCAGATGACTGAGTAACAAGAAACCAAATATATACTAATAAAATGAAGTTATTCCTGCTACAGATAATATGCAACCTTACTCTGCAGTAATAATTAAGAATTTTTGGTAAAGTGTTTGTTTGTAGAGTTAAGTCGTCTTTATTTTTATTTCTGTGATTTACTTCCCAGAACTCCCAAACATTCCCAAAAATTGAGGGGAAAATTACATAATAGTCTCCATATTATTTATTTTTCAACAAATTTAAATGAGTTAGTACTAAACCTATGTAACTTCTCAAAAAGATAATTTTGAACAATGTTAAAAAGATTTTTCATTTTAATATTGGTTTTCTCTTTATTAATATAAAAATAATAATGCTTTATACTATGAATTTAATATATTATTACCATGGTCGTCATAATTGTGAGCAGCTGGGGGCCAGGGGTCAATCTCTTCTGACCACTTAGCCAAGACTCCATTAGCGTAAAAACGGGCGTAAAACCCATCGCCATAAATGCTTTTAATCACATGACCATGATATTTTACACCTGAGCAGGTCATAAAATCAGCATAAAAGCGAGTTGAGCAGTGTTCAACTTTCAACGCGAATACAGCCATAAAATGGGACCATCCACCAATCAGAAGTTAGTGAAATCTAGGTCATTGTGACACAGTGTGAAAATGGCGGAAAACAAGCTTTTGTGTATGTTCTCTTGTGGCTACTCTAGAATAGATCTGGAAAGATTTATCGAAAACATTTGAAAGTATTCATGTATCTATGACAAGAGATATCCTGATTATAATAATGGATGCCTAAAGTACACGATATGGATAGCCAAAGGAAAATCCTTCAATTTGGAGGAGTATATAATAAAAAAGCTAAGTTTATAAGTGCTGTATATTATCTTAATAATATGGTAATAAAAGTTAATATATGAAAGTAAAGATATTATTTTTCTACATTTGTAATTATAGTACAGAAAAAACTCATAGAATATAATTGTCTTTATATCGATATATTACATATACAACCATACAGGTGTAACTTCGACAGCACCATCGCCGTAAAAACTTCATTAGCTGAACCTCCACAGCAATCCAGATGCAAATGCAAATAGGTCACATGATTAAAGGTTTTTTACGGCGAGGTTTTTATGACTGTTTTTATGCTAGTGGAGTCTCGGCCTTACTTGCCACTGGTTGAGAGAACCCGCTCTCTGTGTCTTAGGATGGCCATAAAAATTTAGATTAAGATCTTTTTAGCTTAATCTAGTAGGATGGATGTGATACCAGGTAAGAAAGGGTTATTCACATCTTTCCTTGCGATAAAATATAAGATATATCCTAAAAGGAGGGCTAATTTATGAGCAGGGAGTATCGTGGATAAGTTGATATGGAGCCTGTTATTTAAAAGAAGGTTATCAATAGACAGATTAACAAATAACAACTAAAAATTTAATGGAATGAAACAAATACATGAGAATACATTGACCTTGTATATAACAAAATGATATATCTATTTTATATCTATCTATATCTCTATTCTATTCCTACCAGAAATATATACATATATATATTTTCCCTAAGAGAGAGTTTACATAAGTTTCTTATATTTATACCTCTGATTGTTGCATGGGGAGATGTCTTCAGATATGGAGACGGAGGAGGGCAAGATGGGACTTCTTCTGTATGGCTGTCCTTATCTATGTCTGTTCTAGGTCTCTTCTTATGACAGTTGCAGTATACTGTTGACTGCTTGTCAAGTATGGCATGTTCCAAATCTTTGTGAACTGCCCCAAAAAGTGGGAATTTGTCCATTTTATTGCCACTTTCCTCCAATCACCCTCCACAATATGCATCATCTGATGGGATGAACTGATGACCAACAGGAATTTCCACATGACTCATATGATAGATCAAAATCAAGATAAGGGAAATTGAAGGAAGTTTAAATTCCACTTTTTCCATAAAAGGAAAAAGTGTCGTCAGTTTTTACAGGATGTGGCTTTAAAGTTGTGACTTTTATTACATTGATCTTTCCGATCAGTGTAATAATATTTTTCTTTAATCTTTTTTTTTTTTAAACCTTAATAAAATAATTAGGTGTTAGTAATCTATCTTATGAATAAATGGCCTGTCTAGATCTTCACATAATCATCTATATTAGAATTTGACCATATCTTTCATTGATATGTAATTGACAAATTATAGCATAAAAATTCACTTAGCTGTGGTTGCAATGAAAATGCAAAAAAAATAACCTTATTTATCAATCATCTGTATAATAATGTAAATTTATTTTCAGATTTTTATATATTTACAAGAATTATGAAATTACAGTAGTAATTTTGTAGTTATACAGTTAAAAAAAATCAGCTATGTTTAAGTTTTAATCAAGATATTTGTTTTCAACAAAATCAACCTAAGTATTTTTTTTAGCAGTGAAGTAGATGATTTACAAATGTTTTCAACTACATTCATTAGCCCTGGTGTCTTAAGTTCTATTAGTTCCAGTTAGATATGAAGCAGACTAGTGAATGTAGTCAAAAACACTTGTAAATCATATATTGCATGGCTGAAAAGTACTTAGGTTGACTTTGCTGAACATAGATACAAGTTTTAGCTTTAGGAAAGTGCATTTTAAGATATTTGTGTTTAATTATTATTTGGTAAATTTGAGTTTAACATAAAGGTTTGTATGTAAGGAAAATTATAATTTTATTAGTAGCAGAAATATTTAATTATATTTGATCTTTCTAATTTAGTATTTGAATCAATGAGATAATTTTATTAACATAATATTATCTCATTACTATATAAAATGCAGGGCAATCATAAAGTTGCTTGTAGTGGGTGGAGAAACAGGAGGAGCATCCAGAAATGAAGAAGTGACATCACATACAGACTGCATGTCAAAAGAATCACCATGGATTTTAATAAACTCCTGTTTAATGAACTCCCAATTTTGGGATAATCACTTTTATATGGTTTTTCCCTCATATATACAGCAAATCACATACACAAAATTCATCTTTGATTTCATTACATGAGGTGCTGAAAATATTGTCTTCCAGATCAACACATAACCAGACTCTTCTGCATGAGAAAAAAACTCTTTGCTTGATGATGAGCATGAGAAACTATATAGCATCATTCAGAGATAGAGTCCTCTGTGGCAAGTTATTGACATCACCACTCAAGTCAACCCACACAGGTGTTCCCCACTGTGGAGTGACTTTATGATTGCACTGTATAAGGATATTCTACAAGAGTTATCCCAAAAAGTATTGGAGATTAATATTTGTTCAGTACTTTTGGAATGAAAAGGGTGCAAGGGAATTTGATTTGCACTGTCTAAAATATAATAGTAAAATTGTTATGTATAGTTTACAAACAGGAATTTATAAAACATGAATGATTTTCTCCTAATTGAGAAAAAAATTACAAAAATTAATGAAATATTAAGAATATTGAATTTTTATTTAAAATTTGAAATTATTTTTTAAATGAAGGTTTATGTTTATTTTTAAGGCTTTAGTTGCTGATTGTTATCAGGATTTTAGTAAGCAATTAAGTGAAGCTTTGACAATGGTTACAAATGCAAAATCTCAATCTCTTCCCTTGTCACACACACTCCAATCTTCCCATTCAACCAATCAGTCACAATCTTTAACATCATCGTCGTCATCATCATCATCATCCTTTTCACAAGTGCCACTTGTAGATTCATCTGGAAGACAACTGGTAAGATTTCATCATTTTAAAATAAGAATAAAAGTTGATAAAAAGTATTTAAGATAGTATTTTAATTTTCATAACTGACACACAGTAATGAGCATATTTTGATGATAGTTCATCAATAGGAAACAAAATGTATTATCACATAAATAAAAGGGAAAGTTTGTTTGTGGTACAGTTGTCTGTATGAGACATTTGTACAGGTAGCCCTCGGTTTACGCCATAGTTCCATTCCTACAAAAGCCGGTGCAAATCGAATCGGCATAAAACGAACCCGTATTTACAGTGATGNCAGTAAAAAAATAATAAATGATTTTGAAAATGTTTTATTTTGTATTTATTATATATATTTGTCAAAATGCATAGTAAATATTAATTTTACCAATTTGTCATGTTTTTAAAAACATTTGATTTTTTTTTTTTTTTTTGTTATTAGTTGGAATATTTAGTCATGAATGAACAAAATTGGTTTGGATTAGCAAGAGTGTACTATGTTTATTTTAAATAATATTGTATCAGTAATGATTTTTTTAATCAATATTTCAACCAGCAGATAACTGATTATAATTATTGACCAGTGACATTTTTTTTATTTTAAAGTGCGGTTAATATTTTATAAAAATCTAGAAAAAGCAAAAATATGCTTTGATTTTTAAATCTAAGCTTATTTGTACTTTGATTAAAAAATTAAAACAACATATTTTAAAATCTTACCAATACATGATTTTGTATAGATTTTTCTTTAAAGGCAGAGAGATACAACTATAACATGTTATCAACTTTAGTAATATGAACTTTCAAGGAAGATGTTTATATAATAATACTTTCATTTCACATAGCTATGATCTTTTAAAAAATTGAGAAAAATTGTAATCAGATTTGAGTTATTTTGTTAATGTTAGTCAACAACACAGTAGTTTATAAATAGAGGCTTATATGCATTCTGTTAAACACTGAACTGTTTCATAAAGATTATGACAAAAATGTCATTAAAAGTTATACTTCAAATTGAACTGCTTTTTCCCTCAAAAGGGAACAAAACAATAACTTAAGTGCAATTGTTAAAATAGCTTTTTCTATTCCAATGTAATGCTTTCTGTCTTTTCAAGTGAGAGAAAATTTTCTAATGAATTTAAAAAGCTGCTAGGAATAAAATTACTAAATGTTTTAAATATTAACAATATGATATGATTAATTTATTGTATAATATAAAAATTAATTATGAATTATAATATATATACATTTTTATTTACATTCCAACAATTTTTTAGTACAGATTTATTTTTATTGATTGTAACTTCATATTATAAATAAATGAAAAAAAAAAGATGTTTATATTTATGAAATGCAGTGAGATTCTGATTTTAAGTGATAATATTGTAGATTTTAAAACTCCATAAATGCTGGAATTTTATTTTCTAATCAGAAATAATTTTTTTATTTGTTTATAATGTTATACATTTTCTTTGTTGTTATTTTAAATAATAATAATTGTATTTTATACTTTAGTTTTTGGTAAGTTAAAGGAAGTGTGACATTGTTTTAATTGGCAACTTTATTTTAGCATTCTGTAATATGTTTTGCAATCCTCAAGGGACATAACACAATACATGGGAAAAACTATTCTAGAAATTAAATCCTTTTGATATCTGTCAACAGCAATGTCCAAAAATGTGTGTTTATAAAAACAAAACTGGGTAAAACAATATTCAGTATAATTAATTGTAAAATAAATATTAGAAAAAATTAATTAAATTTTAAAACTGACTACAACTTTCAAAATACACTAATTTTGATATTTTTTAATTTATTAACATTTTATTTGGATTTGTAATTTATATAGAATTTCAGAATATAATTAAGTATTTTTTCCTCCCTCAATGCTTATGATTTTGCACAGAACTTTCTACATTACTTACTGATAAATTATTTCAATAATTTTATCATTGATTTGACAATAGAACTATTTATACTACTATAGCTTGGAATTGTCTTATTGCAGATTTAATAACTTTTATTTAGAATTATATGTTTGCAAAAATTTTAAATTAGATAACATTTTAATTTCAAATGAATGTGAAAAAATATAATTAATATGTAATAATAACGAATTTCTAATAATAATAAAATTACATAATTAGATGTTAGTAATAAAACTGAAACTAAAATACAAAATTTCTAAATATTTGATGAGCTTATATTAATAATACAGTTAAACCTCTGAACAATGGCCACTAAGAGAAACATAAAAAATATCATTATTGGGAGATAAGCCAAAAAAAAAAAGGCTTATAAGTTGGAGGAAAATTTAATTTATTGCTTTTAACGTTATACAATATCACAAAGCAGTTTTTATACAAAAGCCCTTCTCTAACTTAGAACTCCTAAAACAATCAGATAGGTCATAGCCTGCAATAAAAGATCAATGTTAAAATATGTAAAAAGAAAAAAATCCAACAGTATCTTCTGGCTAATGATGATTTCTTCAAATTTTCTTATAAAAAATCCAAAACATAGTTCTTGGTGTTTAAACTTTTTAATTATCACTGCCAGCAGAGGATACTGTTCCTTCTTTACATATTTTATTGTAAGTATAGCCTATGATAAAAAGTTAATTTGAGTCTGTTTTTTTAAGAGTTCTCTGCACTTTTGACAAAGACTTTTGTACAGAATTTTTTTGCTGTTGTCTATCAGGGCTATGGAACCAGCAGACCTAGTCCCAAATTCCAACTCAGACTTTTAGGTTTGACTCCAACTCCTCCTCTAAATAATAATTTAAAATATAATTTGATTNAAATGGTTAAAAAGACTAGTTAAATCTAGTGTTTTTGAATATTTTACTATAAACTTAAATGGAAAAAATTTTGTGTCAATGCATGGTTGAAGATGATGACAGTGGTGATAATGTAAAACTCTGGAAAAAAGATAAGTACTTTCAGTTTCAATAAGAATGACCAATGAAAAAAAAATGCTTAAAAAGTAGTCAAGTTATTATTCTTAAATAATGTAGTTGGAAAATAATATTCTCTTCATCTGAATAAACAAAACTAATAATATATAACTGTGTTGATTAATATATAACTGTATTAAAAATTTGCCAGGACAAATTCGTGTATAGAAAAAATATATTTCCTTTTGGACTATACATATAATTGAGTCCATCTTCATTTGTCCCCTTCACAAAGCGTGTGAAGGGACAAATGAAGATGGACTCAATTATATGTATAGTCCAAAAGGAAATATATTTTTTCTATACACGAATTTGTCCTGGCAAATTTTTAATACAGTTATATATTAATCAACACAGTTATATATTATTAGTTTTGTTTATTCAGATGAAGAGAATATTATTTTCCAACTACATTATTTAAGAATAATAACTTGACTACTTTTTAAGCATTTTTTTTTCATTGGTCATTCTTATTGAAACTGAAAGTACTTATCTTTTTTCCAGAGTTTTACATTATCACCACTGTCATCATCTTCAACCATGCATTGACACAAAATTTTTTCCATTTAAGTTTATAGTAAAATATTCAAAAACACTAGATTTAACTAGTCTTTTTAACCATTTTGTGTGGGTCTTTTGATGGTAAAATTTAGAATTAGCTAACTCACTATATTTAAATATGAAGTCTTGAAAAGAAAATCAACAGGAATTAGAGATATTCATAGAAAGGCAATGAACTAGGGGAATCATCACAAAATAAGATCTTACATTGTAGGACCATTTTATAATGAAAGATAGGATGTTAAAAAACGTTTATTAACACTTATCTAAAAATATTTAAATAAACTTTGAAAATACAGTGGAACCCCAGTTAACAAACATAGGCCTAGTCCGTTCCATGAGTCCGTTCGTTAACCGAAGCAATTTTTCCCATAGAAATTAATGCAAATACAATTAATCCGTTCTAGCCGTCAGTATTTTTGTAATTTTATTTGTAAAATGTGTTTTCTTTGATGAAAATATAAGAAAACATAGTATCTATCATTACAGCAACAAATATGTAAACTTTATTTAGTAAAGTAGCACTGTACTGTACATACCTTTGTTTCTACGGAGCTTAATGCTTGGAAGAGGAATCCCCCTCCATAAAAATATTGGGTAGCACTGCATCGGAAGTTTCTTCGAGTCGAGGTCTCTTTTGATAAGGAACAAGAAAGTGGTCTAAAGTTGATTGTCTTACTCTCTTAATCAAAATTTTACTAAAATGCACTAGCACAGTGTCATTCATTAAATTAATGACCCTATTAGCCACAACTTTGTTAGGATGGTGCTTCTTGATAAATTCCTGCACATCATTCCATTTTTTGTAAATTTTCTTGATCTTAGCACTGGTGATTTCTTCCCTAGCCTCTTCCTCTGACGAATGCTCTTCTTGTAAGACTTTCATCTGTTCTTCCTGCATGGCAACCAGCTCTTCTGTCGTTAGTTCATTTTGATGGTCTTTCAGCAACTCCTCCACATCTGCATCATCTACCTCTACTCTCAAACTCTTGTCAATGGACACAATTTCATGCACTACATCAGGAGAGCTCTCTTCTTCAAATTCCTGAAAGTTTCGCTCTGGGACACAAGTTGGCCAAAGTTTCCTCCAGGCCGATTGCAAAGTGCGGTGAGAGACCTCATTTCAGGCTTTGTCAATAAGGTTGATACAATTCAGGATGTTAAAACGCTCCTTCCAAAAAGCTCTAAGAGTTAAGTTAGTATCATTGGTAACCTGAAAACACAT